ACCATGAACATTCATTACTAGTAGATAAAGTTGTTATAAATTACTATAATTAACAAATTAATTTAACAGTTCATCTTTAAACGAATCGTTTTAGATCAGCAGTTCTCAAACTATAAGACGAAATGACAGCAGTCATACTGAAAAAAATATGTTATAAAGAATTAGGTAGCAATACAATTAGAAAAATGTAGAGAAACACTGCTTTAACCTGTTTCAATTTAGTTTAATACAAATTTCTTTGTGATCTTCTATGAATCATACAGGTTAAGTTAAAATGTAACTAGTTTGTACATGAAATAATTTATTATGATTAAACTATGAGCATTCATTAGTAGTAGATAAAATTGTTATAAATTACTATAATTAACAAATTAATTTAATAGTTCATCTTTAAACGGAACGTTTTAGATTTGCGGTTCTCAAACTGTGAGACGAAATGACAGCTGTCACTCTGCGTCAAAAAACAATTATGTTATAAACAATTAGGTCGCAATACAATTACAAATAAATATGTTGAATCGCGCTTGCAATAATGTTGAGAAACGCTGCTTTCGACTGTTTCAATTTAGTTTAATACAAATTTCTTTGTGAACTTCTATGAATCATACAGGTTAAGTTAAAAATGTAACTACTTTTTACATGAAATAACTTATTACGATTAAACTATAAACATTCATTGGTAGTTGATAAAATTGTTATAAATTACTATAATTAATAAATTAGTAAATATAGTTCATATTTATACTAAAACAAAGCATACTTTAAATAATGAATATGCACTGGGTATTCATGAGTTTGTTTGCGCTCCTAGATTATTAAGCTTTAATTGGTGTTGGTTTTGTTCTACTTTATCTCACAATTAAATGTTCTAGAGTTATGTTTGTTTATTCATAATTAATTAGATATGAATATTTAATTAATTTGTAAATTATTAAATAAATTTCGTTCACTAATTTGTTTTAGAAATGATTTGAAATGCATTTTGATTGTCATTTTTGTGAACTTAAACAAACTCACTGTTTGAAACCGGACTAATCGAATACTTTAAATAATCCGCACAAAAAGACACTTGAATGTATGGATTCACTTTAGTCCGGTTCAATTCTCTGTGTGCGGTTTATTTTTGTAATATTACTTCGCACAGTGCGGGTTTCAAACCAAACTATTGAATGTTCGTAAGTCGAAAAGTTACTGCGTACGTTAACTTAGAGTTGTTTATTATTTTGAGTAACCATGGATACGTGCATATTCTAATGCTATTACATAAGTAAACGTGACGAATCTAGTTTTATTGCATATTTCTCCAGTCAATGAAATTGAATAACCGTATTCAATTTTATTAAAAAAGTCAACTATTTGTTGTTTGGAGTTAATCTGAATACACCAATTAAAAAGAAGACATATTTTTCACTTGACATTTCATTGGGAAAAACCTACGTATTAACTAAATTTTTACAATATACATTTATTAATACATTTTTGGAGATTATTAATGTAATAGATCTTCATTTATTTGTTCTCTTTTATAGTCTTAAGAACTACTAAAACTGTAAAAAGTTTAATAAAATTTAGATTAATGTGAAGCCATAAGAAACGAAATAAATTTAATAATAATAATATGGTTTTATTTTTTTTAAATGAATAAATTGAGTCACTTTTACTGTGCATCAACAACATTTAATTAAAAGTAATTATTTGTGTTATAAATTATTGTTTTGTAATTTATTCACGGTAAATTCCGTAATTATAACTTTCATGATTAACCACAGACATGAGCATTGCGTGTTGGAAACACATTTTACTTCATGATTTTTTTAACATTTATAGCTCCTTGGATAATACTTTTTTTTATAATTTTCTTTGATATTACATAATAAATACCAAAAACACCAACACCAATTTAGTGAATTTGTATAAAGAAATGAGTTAAATTAAATTGGAACGATATTGTTTTGGTAACACGTTTTCTCTATGTTTTGATCACATTATACCAACATTTTTTTAATTTCTAGATATTTGGTAAATCACTAGTGATTTATTACGTTTACAAATTGCATCAATATGGATGAATTTAAGAAACTTTATATTCACATAAATCATGAATTTGATTTAAGGTTGTTAGAATTTAGTGAATTTGTATATAGAAATGCGTTAAATTAAATTGGAAGGATATTGTGTTGATAACCCGTTTTCTCTATGTTTTAATCACATAGTACCAACATTTTTTTGTTTCTAGATGTTAATTTTGACAAATAAATACATTTCACGTTTCTTGTTTTTATAATTGATCAAGTGATTACAAATTACATAAATATGGATGAATTCAAGAAACTTTATAATCACAAAAATCATGAATTTGATTCAAGGTTGTTACAACTTATTGAATTTGTATAAAAAAAATGCGTTAAATTAAATTCGGAGGATATTGTGTTGGTAACATGTTTCCTCTATGTTTTAATCACATAATACCAATTTTTTGTATAGATATTCGGTAATTTTAAAAAATAAATACATTTCACGTTTCTTGTTTTTATAATTTAACAAGTGATTTATTACATTTACAAATTACATCAATATGGATGAATTCAAGAAACTTTATAATCACATAAATCATAAATTTGATTCAAGGTTGATAGAATTTAGTGAATTTGTCAAAAGAAATGCGTTGAATTAAATTCGGTGGATATCGTGCTAGTAACACGTTTTTCTCTATGTTTTAATCACATAATACCAACCTTTTTTATTCCTAGTTATTTGGTAATTTTTAAAATTAATACATTTCATGTTTCTTGTTTTTATAATTGAACAAGTGATTTATTACATTTACTAATTACATCAATATGGATGAATTCAAGAAACTTTATAATCACATAAATCATAAATTTGATTCAAGGTTGATAGAATTTAGTGAATTTGTCTAAAGAAATGCGTTGAATTAAATTGGAAGGATATTGTGTTGATAATCCATTTTCTCTATGTTTTATTCACATAGTACCAACATTTTTTTATTTCTAGATGTTTGGTAATTTTGACAAATAAATACATTTCACGTTTCTTGATTTTATAATTGCACTAGTGATTTATTACATTTACAAATTATATGAATATGGATGAATTCAAGAAACTTTATAATCACATAAATCATGAATTTGATTCGAAGTTGTTACAATTTCTTGAATTTGTATAAAAATTAATGTGTTAAATTAAATACGGAGGATATTGTGTTGGTAACATGTTTCCTCTATGTTTTAATCACATAATACCAACATATTCATATTTCTATGTATTTGGTAATTTTGAAAATTAAATTCATTTCACGTTTCTTCTTTTTATATTTGCACTAGTGATTTATTACGTTTACAAATTACATCAATATGGATGAAATAAACATTGTAATCACATAAATCATGAATTTGATTCAAGGTTGTTAAAATTTAGTGAATTTGTCTAAAGAAATGTATTAAATTAAATTGGGAGGATATCGTGTTGGTAACACATTTTCCTCTATATTTTAAACATAATACCAACATTTTTTGTATTCCTAGATATTTGGTAATTTTTTATAAATAAATACTTTTCACGTATCTTGATTTTATAATTGCACCAGTGATTTATTACATTTACTAATTACATCAATATGGATGAATTCAAGAAACTTTATAATCTCATAAATAATGAATTTGATTCAAGGTTGTTACAACTTATTGAATTTTTATAAAAAAATAAATGCGTTAAATTAAATTCGGAGGATATTGTGTTGGTTACCCGTTTTTCTCTATGTTTTAATCACATAGTACCAACATTTTATTTATTCCTAGATATTTGGTAATTTTGAAAAATAAATACATTTCACGTTTCTTGATTTTATAATTGCACTAGTGATTTATTACATTTACTAATTACATCAATATGGATAAATTCAAGAAGCATAATAATCACATAAATCATGAATTTGATTCAATGTTGTTACAATTTATTGAATTTTTATGAAAAAATGAGTTAAATTAAATTCGGAGGATATTGTGTTGGTAACATGTTTCCTCTATGTTTTAATCACATAATACCAACATATTCATATTTCTAAATATTTGGTAATTTTGAAAATTTAATTCATTTGACGTTTCTTGTATTTATATTTGTACTAGTAATTTATTACGTTTACAAATTATATCAATATAGATGAATTCAAGAAACATTATAATCACATAAATCATGAATTTCATCAGTTCGGAGCATATCGTGTTGGTAACACGTTTTCTCTATGTTTTTTTTTTATCAAATAATATCAACATTTACGTTTTTGTTTTTATAATTGTACAAGTGAATTATTACGTTTACAAATTACTTCAATATGGATGAATTCACGAAACAATTTAATCACATAAATCAGAAATTTGATGTTAATAGTTTGTTGGCATTCAGTGAATTTGTACGTGGAAATGCACAAATCGAGGTGATTAATTAGATTCGATGGTGATGAAGGGAAATCAGCTGTTGCAGAGCCCACATTGATTTTTTGTACGTCGGAGCAGACGTGCATGTTTATATGAAATTGACGTCCTCGTTTCACCCACGAGAAAACGTAATTGCGTTTTAAGAAGAGAGGAGAAAAAAAAATGTTTTACATAAAAAAAAATATAAATTATTCATCGTCAGGTATGTGCGATTAATTTCAGTTTATCTTGACAGCAAATGCAGAATTGAAAAAAGAAAACCGAATCGTAAATCGAGTTATTTGCAATTAGTTTTTACGTTCTCTCAATTATTCTAATAACGAGCGTAATAGAATAACAAAGAGCGTCTGTACAAGCTGCAAATGAAATGCCAAGATCGGTTTAAAAATCAATCAATCAATCAATTGTGGTCGATAATAATTGTAGTTTTATAACTTTAACTGGATATTGCGATATTACGCGATGACATATAAATTATGTGGAGTGTTAAATGGGAAGCAGCAGAAAATAAAAGTTGTATAAAATCGATGTTTGGGTGGTATTTACCTCGGAGCGGTTTCCATTTGTTGTCTTCTCGAAGATTTCCGTGGACTTCAGTCACATGGACCTAGGAGGAGGAGAAGAAGAAGGGATCTGGGAATTTCACCGCGTTTGTCCGTTTCTTGCACCATTTGATCTCACGCGATCTGTTTCTGCCCGAGATGGAGGCGATTATTGCGGAAGGATGTTGTTGTCATCGTCGCGTTCGAGTGGTGGCGGCGGTGGCGGTTCGCACCTAAACACATTATCCTCGCGCCCGATCGCTGGGGACGACTCGCACATTCTCATTCTCAACCCTGAAAAAAAATCCCCGCTGAAATAGTTCATGGTCAGGGGAGGCGCGCGCAGGGTTGGAAACTAGGGTTTTACACCGGCGGCGGCGGTGGTGGAGGTGGTTACGTAGTCGGAGACGGCTGCGACGCCAATCGATAGACGCTCGGGAGGCCACGCGACGCCACCCCGTGAATTTAATCGACGCAAAAATAACATACAAGACAACAGATAACATAACTAAAACAGATGAAGATCGTCTACCTGCGATCATAGAGATCTCTTATTTCCTCATCAGTCGAATCAACTTACTTAATTCTGTGCAGTACATGCAAAAGTGTAATAAACATTAAAGTTGATACTAATCAACGAAATGAGACAATTTAAGGATAAATTTCTTTAAATTTTCCATTACTTTTCCAATAGAGAAAGTATACATATCAGAATTATCATATTAACTTAACATTTGTTGTTTTATGTAAAAAAATGTAATATTACTTTACTAGATTTATATTCAGAATATTAAACTTTTTAAAAGCACTTGACTTTCTATTAGATTTTCTGCAAATTTTCTTTGGATTGTAGCTTTCTTGAAAGTTTAAACTATTTTTTTTTTGTAATTTCATATTTAATTATCGATATTTCTAGATAATTATTCCACTAACGTTTATTTAAGGCGACTAAAGTTTACTTTAGAATTTTCAATTAATTACACTGTAAAAATAATAACTATTAAAGTTTTAAATCTGTAAAATTGTACAAAAAATAGATAATAATTGTGAGATTAAGTTCTGAAGTTATATGAAAAAATTGTTCGTAAACGAGTAAAACATTTAGCTATAAGTGTTAAAACTAATTTGTCAGAAAGTATGGAAAAACTATGAAAATCATTGCTTAGACGCATAACTTATATTGTATTCGTATGTCATACCTTTAATAACGAAGCCTCGCTATAACAAAGTCCGCAATTTCAATTGATAATCAATACAACCGATGGTTCATGGAGTAATAACATCATTTGAAGCTTTTTATCTTCAGCTTAACTCTTTGAGAGGCTAAATTTCTAGATCCAACAAATTTCTAGACAACTACGTCAATTGAATCAATCAAAATAGCATGGTATCAAGATTCATCCTTTGACATACCAACGAAATAAAAGGATAATTCCTCTTTCGTGGACATTTTCTAGAAAATTGTAACAATACCAGGCATGTTCAAAAGGTGGTGCATTGCGTGTACTACCGCTCCTCAAAGAGTTAACCACATAAGCGGTTTGATGTTTCCCTAGTGGCCACGTACTTTTGTCGCTAGGGTATTTTACTATTCATGATGCAAATATATTCGTCATAAGAGACCATGACGAACATATACGACATAACAACTTCACAATTTAATTGATGTAGAAAGAAGAAATGACATTTGAAAACTTTTTAGATCAAGTCTATTAGAAACGCTGGTAAACATTATAACATTATTAGTTCTTAGAAAGATGTCGCTAAGAATTTGGAAATTCAAATGGCTCAATTAATGGACGATGAAGAGGATGATGGAAATGTATTGAATGCAGAAGATTATGGTTTTTCAGTCAATTTGAAAAATTAAATTAAAAAAGCTCCTGCCAAAAAAAATGTTAATAACTAAAGATTTTAAAAGTTGCTTAAATGATCCTCATTTTGGAAGAAGTGTTATTGTTAACCTCTGAAAAGGATGTTTCGCTTTTGAATTAAAAAAATCTAAGGCGTTAAATGTTATATTGGCATTATATCTGTTACATAACAATATGTATTTATTTGAAATAACATTTTTATAATATGTTTAATTAAATAAATATAATTGAAATAAATGAGTTTTATGAAACAAAATCTAGAATATTATTTAGTTAAAGAAATTGAAGTGGATACAACTCTTTCTGTTAGTTTAATTTCATCGTTATCGAGCGTTTGTTGTAACCTAGGCAATGAAACACTTTACATATATAGAAATTGTTTCTAATTGACAGTATTTAACGAGAAACAGCCATGTTGTTTTTTTATAACCTATAACAATCTACGTTTGATTATATATACCAGAACTAAACTGTAAGTTTATGTAGTTAAAAGAAGCTGACTCACTGAGTAATACTTTTCGGTCAAACTTTTCGCATTTATAAACAATACTACAAGTAATAACAAAAATATATATTAAAAGAGAAACACCAAATGACATTTCGTATGCTACTCGATTTTTTGCGGTTTACAAAAGAAAATGTAACGTGTAGAGATTAATCTTAATTCTACACTTTTACACAGATCTGAAGGATGAATTTTGACATATACGTTTACTACTATTATCAAAAAACGATTGCCTTATTTTTATGAACACAGTAAAGTTTACAATCCATGAAGTTTTATTTTACAAGCATATTTTGTTTGATTCTAACTCTGTCGTAAAACATAAATCTGATTATTTGGTAAAGGTACAAGAACATTTTAATGTATGTTCAATAAATTGCGTATTCTGAAAATCAGTGTTTCTCAATAACATATTTGATGAATGCTAAGAGTATTTCACCAGTTTTGACGCAAGGTGACTCGTACATTTTTGTTTCCAAATCTAAACCAATAGAAAAATGTCCACGAAAATTAGGGCGTTTTATTTCATTGAAAGAACTCTTGTACACCATTCAAAATTGTTTCCACAACTAAGTTCAGTTCAATTTAGTGAATTAAATAGCTTTTGAAATATTTATACAAACTCAGTAAGAAAACCACAAAAACTAAATTATTTTCGATTGTAAAATTGTACAAAAACTTGATGACCTTGAGATTACAAAAATCTGTTTAAGATAATTATCATATGCACGCAATTAATTAAGAATGTCATAAAAGAAATCTAGGAAATATCACGCAACCAGTATTAAAACTATTAAAAAAATATATATATGTAGAAAATAAAACATGAAACGTGTTCTAAAGTTTACTATTTTTATGGTTATAAACACGTATTAAATAGTAGTAGGTTGCATGTATTTTATCTTCCCACTTTTGGTAATTAAAAAATCTAACTGGATTTGAATAGTGAAAGAAGAAATCGTTGCAGCAAATAATTTGAAAATCTAAAAAAAAACTGGGAAATGTTATGTAATCAGTAAAAAAAACTGTATAAAGTGAAGAGAATAACATATGTAATATGTTCTAAAGTTTACATTAATCTCCTTATAAATACTTAGGAAATAGTAGTAGATTGAGTATGTATTTGATCTTCCCACTATTTGATAATTAAAAAAATCTAACTGGATTTGGATAGTGAAAGAAATCGTCACAACAAATAATAATGAAAATAAAAAAATAACTGAGAAATGTTATGTAATTAGTAAAAAAAACTCTTTAAAAGTACAGAGAACAAAATATGTAACGTGTTCTAAAGTTTGCATTATGTTCATTATAAACACGTAGTAAATAGTAGTAGATCTAATTGGATTTGCTTAGTGAAATCGTGTTAGTAAATAATTAAGAAAATTAAAAAAAAACTAGAAAATGTTATGTAAATGGTAAAAAAAACTATTAAACAGTAAATAATACAAAATATTGAACATGTTCTAAACTTTGTTTTCTTTTCATTAAAAACAGATAGTAAATAATTGTAGGTTGCTTATATTTGATCTTGCCACTTTCGGTAATTATAAAAATCTAACTGGATTTGCGAAGTTGAAGAAATCGTTGTAACAATTAATTAAGAAAGACAACAAAAATCGTAGGAAATATTATGTACTCGACACGATGCTCTAAAGTTTGCACTTTTTATGCTTTTAAAAGCACATATTTACTATGTAGTAGGTAGATTCTATTTGCTTTTCCTGTCTTCGATAATTAAATGGATTTGCACAGTGGAAGAAATCGTTACGGCACAAAACCAATGTCCATGGATGAAAGAAATAAAAAAAATGGATAGGTAAGTGCAGAAAAATTAGCCAAAGCGAGAGACCTTGCATTTATGTAGATTCGATTCGTAAAAAAAGAAAAGAAAAAAAAAGAAGCACACATAGATCTGCACATCTTGCGTGATTAAGACGTTACGCAAACGTAGTTGGCCCGAGTCCCGATCACGCACATTTCTGCAATCATTGCTGCGCGACTTGGTGACCAGAAAATTGTAGAACTAAACACGGCAATTGCCGTGCAAACTAATGAAAAATCGCGTGCCTCCTTGCGACATTGAGATCGCTTCAATGTGACAGATCCTTGCGTTTAACTTTATTGCGATTTTCGTTTTGGTTCATTGTTGTTCTTGTAACAAGGCAAGCGTAGAAAAAGAATAAAAAAAAACAGCATTAAAATCGTAGTTGTGAAACGCTTATAAAATTTAAATAATGTTACTTAATTTAAATAATGTCAGTAAATTGATCTTAATAACTAATTATAAGTAATAAAATATGAGTTGAGTTGCATAATTATATTATAAGCTTTAGTCGAAGGAGTGTTTATTTCGATTATGTTTATTTGCAACAAAAACAGGAAACGTATTTAATACGTAAGTTGTTGTTTTTTTTTTCGTAGTTTCGAAGACAACGAAATCCTTGAACGAACGTTTAATTCAAGAGATCTCGTTACATATCCGATGTATCCTATATAATTCATGATTACTCATTGTTGATTACTAGTTACTTGACACTCGAAGTGAAATAACCAATATTTAATATTACCATTTTTTCTTGCATCACCTGCTATGAGATCTAACTTATTTAGTTACATCTATGATTATTGAAAAAAATGGTTTATTTATCTTTGTTACGTTTCATTTTATTAATAAAGTAATCAATACGTCACATAATGCGGATTCACGGTTTGAAAAATTCAAAACAAACTAAATTTGAAAAATCTGAATACTTATTTATACTATAAAATCTCTTTATGTGCGGTTTTAAATACCTCTTTTAGTTCGGTTTCAAACAGTGTGGGATATTGGCGGAATCGATTATCCGCATTACTGTACGTATTCATTTTACATCTGTTTATGCATAACTGTTATTATTTGGAAAAATGCAAAATTA